CCCCCCCCCCCCCAAAAAAAAAAAAAAAAAAAGTTATACATTTTTTGTGGTGCAACAACGTTTAGGAATCGAATGTCAAAGGAACAAGGAAAATATTTTCTCTGCAATGTGATTAGAAGATGATTTTGGTTTTTGGTACTGTTTCCTTGAGATGATGCGTTCGCTAAACTGTCGTGTTGCACGTTACCAGGACCATTATTATAGACAAAATAATAAAGAATGAAAAGCTGTGCCATGATACCTTCATTGATTGAAAATTTGAGGTCCCGCTGGCTAACTTCTTTTTATCATGCTAAGTAACATGTTTTGATTTGTTTAGGGTCACCGTGTTTTTGGTGTTAAGTATTTTTTATTATTATTAATAGGAAGATTACAAAAATACGACGAGAATCATACTTAAACTTGTTTGTTTTTACCTTAATCCGTTTTCTCTGACTCACTAGGCTGACTTAATGGTTCTTAAGTATATTGCTTGTTATTAATAAAATTTATATTGAACTTGCTAAATATCTTTTATGTAGTTTTTATTTGGTAAAATTTACATATGATTAATCTAATAATAAAAGAAAAAAGATTATGAACCAATTGTGTAAAGAAATTTTATCCTGTCATTTAATTATAAATTATTTTATATGATAAATTTATTAATTTTTATAATAATTATTTTAAAGTTATACTACCAATTATTGGTTGATAGTGTAAAATTTTTATATCTTTATTGCATCATTATTAAACATATAATAAGTTACTAATAATTAAGTGTATAAAAAAGTTTGTTATTAATTTGCACAAACCATGATAGGCAGGAGACAAAAAGGTGCAAGTTTTTGTAACGAACGTCATGAATGAATGACCCTCTGGCCCTCTCTTGAAAGTTGAAAGTTGAAATTATTCGATCTTGCGATTGGACTCTTCTAAAGAATAGTTGATTAGAAAAACTACCGTTGGAATTATGACTTTACTAAGCAAATTGTGAACGTTAATTACAATATCCCATCTACAGGTTTATCAAGCAAATGTTTGTCGGATATTGGTTCTTTCATGTTTAACTTCAAACATATGAAATCAAGATAACAAAAATAATTACAATAAAACTCACTATTATTTTATAAACTTACATTTATTTATTATTGTGCCTTTCTCATTATATTTTCATGGAACATTTTTAGCACAATGTTCATAGACACAACTGATTAAAAACAAAATATTATATTGACTTCAAGATGAGCTTCCTTGCATTCTTATTCTTATTATTAATACAACTTGAACTTATGTTTGATTAAGCTTATAAATATTGTACCCACAATTCTTACTCTCTGTTATGATGTATTTGACTATTTCCAATTTGATCAAAATTATATTCACTTCCAATCTAACTTTAAAATTACAATAGCCAAACCTTTTTCAATTTGCACTAGACAGTGTTTTCTCGTATTTTGATTTGTATGCAGTTTTCCAAAAAGTATATACATATGTGAGCAAACTAGAAAGCAAACTGCCCCTATTGAAAAAGCATGAACAAAAGCACAGAAATCAGCATAGTTCATATGTTAATTATTAATAATGAACAATATTCCAGCAACAACCTTACAACTTCGTGATAAAACAAGAGTACGGTCTTCATTTGGCATATATGAACCATTACAATTAACTTTTTAATTATGATGCCTCATTGCACATATGATCGCATATACCATGCATGGTATATGATGCCATGTATAAACTACGTAGTAGGATAACTTAGATCCCATTCCCAAGCACATCTAACACAACAAATACAACGAGACTTTCTGAAGTCAAGTACTAAAAAGCAGTTTCTATTTATAGTAAAACAATAATTATGCTTCCTAGGATAAGATTTTCACAGAGGGTGGGTCCCAGTTCATATGTCTAATACGGGATGATAATGGTTTCTATAATCTCTTGAAGGGGTGCCAGCTCCTTTTTGTCAATCAGCCCGAACTCCTGCAAAGCAATAACTTGTAAATTTCAAACAAAATCTACAATGTTAGACAAGAAAAAAAAACCTACATACATTAGGAACAATTTCTTGCCCTAAATGAAGATAATAATTAGCAGTTTACACTATTAATTACTATTATTTTTTGAAAGAGAGTTTTGGAAAGCAGCATGCCAAATAACTTATTTCAATACATAATAAATAAGAAAAATGAGACTTACACAGGTAAAGAGTATAAAATGCTTGAAGCAAGTGTTTAAGTGGGCCTCTTCTTTGAGGCTCACAATTTTCTGAAAGTGAGAATGGTATATGTGAGCATATACACGGAACAACCGCTTGAATATTGTCTTCACAACCTCCTTGAAGTTGGGAGGAAATGGTGAACCTACATGATTTCATAGCTTAAGGTACCAAAATGAAAAAGATGATAATCATAGAATCTAAGAATCTTTAAGAAAGAAAATATTAAAATCTTCACCAAGCTTCTGTGGGAATATGGATTCATCATCAAGCTGTGATTCAATCCAGTCCATTAGATATTCTACATATTTTGGAGCAGAAACCTCAATAGGTTTCTTAATTTGTACACCATCTGCCCATCTATATTCATACCTAAAGTTTTCAGACAAAAAACAAGACAACATAAGAGCAATATATGTATAAATATTTAGTACAAATGGATCTAGAACACATGCAAGTGGCATACTTTAATGTATTTCCAGAAAGGTGGCACAAAACTCACTCATTACTACACATTGTCTAGATTCTAGAAAATGCACAACTAGCTTGAATATACAAATTACAAACTATAATGATTTTGCAGAACCAAAGAAAAGAAATGAACACACATAATTGAAGAAATAACAATTTTAACATGTCTATGTAAAATAAATTTTTTTCTTTACCAAAAATAGTTAAGGCACAGATTTTAGACAGGCACAAATTTTAAACAAAAACATATAGCAAGAAATGAAGACATAATTAATTGTTTTAAATTTTTACGCATTGAGGTCCCCATTTATCAACAAAGTGACCAAAAGCATACAACATGGAATAAATAGCAACTATCAAAAAGCAACAAACTTAAATTCAAATTATTCTTATAAAAGGGGATACACAAAAGGATTTTACAATTTATGCAAGTGATATAAGCTTCAAAAACACAAACCATTGTTTTAAACTTATATAGTCATTTAATTTAATTACCTATTATCTCAAGATAATAGATACACAGGAGCTGAGTGATTTTCTCATTCAACCGCAAAGATAATTAAAAGAATATCACCTACTGAATTTCTAGAAGCACACAAATGCTTTTCCCCTCAAAAAGAAAGGTAAACAAGGAAACCAGTCAGTTAAATATGCCATACTTGGGTCCTGCAGACATTGTCCGACAATTCTCAGGAGTACAGAACTCTGTAAGGGTGCCATAAAGCAGATTCACCTGGTTGAAGAAATCAACAGCTGTATTGAAGGCAGAGAAAAAGAGTCAGATTACTGCATTTCAGAATTGTATGAATACATAGTTGAGGAAACTAGAGAATGGAAGGCAAAAGAAAACTGCAATGAGAATATACACTGCTCTTAACAGTGCATTAGAGAGAGAGATAGTTACTGTTGACAGCTAGCCACTCATTTAAATCCTCCCCAGGAGGTAGCTTCACTGCTTCCCTCAGATTTCCACTACCCAATGTGGCATCAATATGTTTTCTAAGTTGAGCTCCCTGCAATAATCATAATTATAATAATTAGCAGAAAAATTTTGTTCAACTTCTATTAGAGCAGGGTGAATCTTATAAGAGCCAGGACAGACCATCCAATTATTGTCTTTTCCCTCTCATATTTTATCACAAGAAGTGAGTAGAAAACTAAAATTATAACTAAAATCAAGGGTAGATAACAATCTTGCAGTCTGAAAGTTATAATTGCACAATACTATTGGTCAATACCGCAATTTTCTAAAAATTTAAGATACAGGGAATTGGAAGATGTGAAATAAAAAATCTAAAATATATCTACGAATATAGAGAAAATATATAACTCAATCACTCACAATTCCAAATTGACAAAATTTGGTCATTCATCCTTCCTCTCCCCCTACTACTCCCACAAAGATTGAAAAAAAATAAAAAACAAAGAAGCCAACTTGCCATATCAAGACAATTTTGTGCATCTTCCAAAAAATAACCCACAAATATACCAAAAATTTGGAAACTACTGTTGTAGCACATGCATGCTCAGTAGACATATGTCATCAATTTTGGAGTACGTGTGCATAACAAAGTAATATTATAAAATATAATTTTAAATACTTCAAAATGAATCCAGTAAATATCATGTAAATCCATTTCTTAAATCTTCACTGACAAAAAGTAGTCTCATTTGCGTCATGGATCAATCTATATAACTTCTAAATGTGTTCCTTTTTCTTATCCTTTTAACATTGCATTTTTAAGATCAATGAAATATGATTTAGTTGCAGAGATTTTCCTAGTTGCTTTTGGAAAGAGTTTTCTAACAAAATAACATTTTAGTGGTTAGAGAAATCTAATTTTTTGTTTCAAGATGTCTTTTGTTGAGTAGTATGTAAGATAAGCATTTCACCATCACTTCCTTCCCACCCCCCGCCCCCACCCACAGACACGCCCAATCCCATGCACGTGTGAAATAATGAATGAAAAACTAACTTGCTCATAATGTCAAGGCCCAAGGATTTTAATGAAGAAAAAAGATTATAATACTCAAGAACAATTTAAACAAAGAAAATATATTAAATTAAATATCCAAAGGATTCCAGAAAAATAAAAGTAACCAACCTTGCTTCCAGAAGGAGTACTTTTTTTCGGGCGGAAAGTTCTCTGGTTTCTGTTGCAGAATAATGTCAGGGAGAATACTAACAAAGGATTTAAGAGAATCAAACTAAACTGAATAACTAAAAATAATCACCAACATCTTTTGCACTTTTGACAAGCATACAATTAGTGATTTCCACACATTTGGAACTATTTAGTGAGGGGAGGAAGTCTAATAAACTTGAATGTCTTAATCATACAAACATCTGCTTGAACTAGTAATAATCAGCAGATGTTTAAATAAAAAAGTGTGGGCCAAATATGAGTAGTTATGACAGCAGTCTCTGTCACCACAATAAATCAGGTTAGTTTGATATTAATAAAAGGAAAAGTAATATCAACATAAAAGGGTCCAGATGGCTTTGAAATGCTAAAGATGGATTACTGATCAGATGATAGGACCTAGAGGCGGTGAAGGAATTCTATAGACAATAAATTGAAGTGGTAACAACAGACAACTGAAACCTTTTCATCTTCATATTAAAATTTGAAAGAATTAAAAGATTCAAGTGTTTGTTTCCATACAAATACAAACAGTTACAGAAGTGAGGAAATGATGAATAGTCAACAATGTGATAATTTATTAGTTATAGATTACTATTTAATACTTCAGAAATCAAATATGGTTCACATTAACTAGGGGAACAGATGCGATTGGCATATGCCACATATCACAGATAAAGAAAAATTTAAAGTCATCCGTATAACATTTGCAGAAATGAGATCATAGAATTGTTTGTCATTCGAATGAGTGATCTCCTGTCTCCTCTTGGTCAAAAGGGACGTGAAGAAATATCTCCTGTCACGTACTTTCAAGGACAAAGACATGTTTACTCGTGTCAGTATTTGCAATACGTTAAAAATCTCCTCAGTTTAAGAGTTACAATTAGTGTCTAGCAATGATAAGAGGACAGCAAATCAAAATTAATGAAAAAACACTTCAAACAATGTAAGATACTTAGATTCAGAAACTCGGATAGATTGGTTAAATATCATATTCTGCAGGACAGTGGGAAAAAAATTAAACCAGACAAACAAGGCTCTTTCACAAAATCTCAAACGCTAATTCTTTCTGAAACTTCAACAATGACCAGAAAGAAAGTTCACCATGCAAGCAATCCAAATTTATGTCAGTGTATAAACAAAGTAACCACAAAGCCCCCTTTATATCCCATGGAATATTTCTCAGTTAATTTAAGATCGACATATCCAAACATATCCCACTCGCCAGTCACCAAACTCATCCTAATTTCACATATGAGCAAGTAAAACCAGTTTAACCTATTCCGTTAGAAGAAAAAGAAATTATTTCCCTAAAATAACCTATTCCTAAACATGCATGATGCATGACAAATTTCCACTCCAATTGAACGTGCTCACCAAATTTAGAAGGGGGTTATCAAAGAGTATGATGGATTAATAATAGATCACTGAAAACATCGTAGTACTGCCAACCAAATTGCCCCAAATACGCACACTTGAATGTCAAAAGCATGATCCAGATTAAAATTGTTTAATTGAAAAATAAAAGCGCCCATTTAAATAATGAACAAAGCAGTGATCGGATCACAGAAGAAACTGTGAAAAGAATAATCCATTAAATGCAAAAAAAAATCGAATGACGGAAAGCAGGAAAATTGAAAGTTATGAAGTGTGAATCGTAGTGAAAATGGAAACTTTTGCACTCACCTTCCTATGCCGAAGAGGCTCATGGCTCGTGTGAGAGAGAGAGCGATAGAAACTTTTCGACTTGCTCTTTCTCTTCTGGCGTCTTTTCCACTCACAAGGTTTCGACTTTAGAATTCGAATATTTTTATTTTTAATTCTTTTTTTTATTCTTTCCAATTACTGAATCACCCTTCATTTTTACTTTTAAATTTTAATAGCTCCTCGGTCCTTTCGGTGCTTGCGGCATGACGCGTGCGTGATGTAATTTATTTAATAACTTTAACATAGGATCACTTCTTCTTTTTTTATGTAAGGTATCTTTTTATTTTTTCGTATAAAATTACATTACTTTTCGTTTTAATTTCAATAAATTCTATGATCCATGCAATATTAAATGATTTTGCTTAAAAAAATTATATAAAAAGATAGTCAGATTAAATAAAGTGAAATTAATTGAGATTTACTTATTTTATGATTATATATATATATTCATTCAGAGTTGGAGAATATTTAAATAAGTTGGTCTAAATTATTTTTATTATAATATATGTCATGTGTTTTATAAAATATATGTTAGACAATTTTTTTAATATAAATATATTTTGAATTAGTTATTTTATTATTTTATTTAAATTTTTATATTTTAATAAATACTCACGTATATGTTGATATATATATATATATATAATTTATGAATATTTACAAAATAGATACTTCCCATAAATAGAGAAGGTAAAGGAAGTTACTACATATGTTTTCGTCTAATTGTTAAAATTGTCAAACCAACTACCTCATGTAAATTTACATAGGGTAAGCATGAATTAGTCTAGCTTGACTCAATCCAACTTTTATGTAGGTTGTGCTTCCTTTGTCTTTTTTTTTTTTATGTACAAGTTTTGTTTTTTATGTATATACTTAATTATCTTTTTTGTAAAATATGTTACAAAATTGTTTTTTCATTTATTTCCTACATTTATTTAAAATTTAACAAGTATTTACATATATTTGATAAATGGATGCTTGCTTTGAATAAGGTAGGTGATGAGGGCTATTGTGCAGCTTTGCCTCATTGTGAGAGCTATCAAATAAGCTAGCTAAGTCAATTCACATGAGTCAACCATGAAAAACTAGTTTTGCTCGACCAAAACGACTTTTATGTAAGATGTGTTTTTTTTTACCTAACCTAGTTTATTGCCCTATTATGTTGATCTGGGTTGGACAATTTTAATATTTATCATTTTATATGTAATTTAAAAGATAGCTAGAAGGGGGTTTAGAGGGAGAGTCCTCAACACTAATAAGATCCACATTGCTAGAGTTTCTACTTTTGTAACCAAGGGAAAACCATGCAACGAATAGCAAGAGTCTTATGTATGATTTGTTCTTTCACAGTGTGTGCATTTAACTGAGCCTCTACCATATACCCTACCTTTGTCACAACTTTGAAAACTAGAAGTGTATCCAACACCTCTACCAATGGAATTATTAGCAGATTATGCTATTAGGGTGGTTGGTTCAACAAAAAATCCACCAGCCACTTGTCATTCTATTGGAGAACAAGAAAGAAGACTTTAGTGATAGATGGTAAAGGGTCCATGAGAAGAATTTGAGTCTTGACAAAAGTATAAGAGTCGTTCAAGCATTTGAGATATTAGATAATGTACTCATTGTTCTTGTTCTTCTTGATGAAGTTTACAAGAGCATAAGTTGAGAGTGTGGAACAAGTGTAAGGAGGTGTGGATCGTAAAGAATCAACTTTTTCCTAAAGAATCTTCATATATGTGTAGAAAGCAAAAATAGAGCATTCACCTTGATGATAGAATGAATTTCTTGAAGTAAGTTAGAGGTGCAAAAGTGATCGCCTTGAGAAAACCTTTCTTGAAGATCAAATCGTAGGTCATATGCATTATCAATGTAGAGAACACTTCGTGTAATTTGAGAGGTAAGAATTCTTGTAATCCAAGATACAACTATCACATTACTACGTTCTCAATCATCAAAAGAAGAGTCAAAAGATGGTGGAATATGAAAAAAAACCATCAATGAATTTGATTTTATTCTTTGAGATAAGAATTTGCTTCATTGAATGGCTCCATGAATGGTAACCGGAACCATTCAATCGGGTGAAACAAGAATCAATCCTAAATTTTCATCAAGATGCAAATAGAGGTGGATGAATGGATTTTGAAAAGGATCTTGCATGATCTGGCTAACATTGGAAGACAAAGAACTTGGGGATTTTGTCATTGAGGTTTAGAAAGAAAAAATATCAAAAGAAAGAGAGACAAAAGGTGATGGCTAAACCATCTAATACCATATTAGAATAAAAAGAAAAAATGAATATATTGTATTAGAGTAGAGAAGAGTTATAAAAATATATAGTGGGTTGTATGCATTTCAGCAAACAAACAAAAAAAATCATAACTAAATAACTATGTCAGTAGAAACTAATTATAACTATCTTATTTTGTTAATGTTTATACAAATAAAAGATTATAAAAGAGTGAGTTGTTTATAAAATCTTATCATTATGTAAAGTTAGTAAAAATGTAATGTGAGCTAATTATAACTATCTTATTTTGTTAATGTTTATACAAATAAAAGATTATAAAAGAGTGAGTTGTTTATAAAATCTTATCATTATGTAAAGTTAGTAAAAATGTAATGTGAGTTATTCAGGAGTGATGTAACATAATAAACCCATTTAAAGTAGAATAAGAATCTTAATGAAGAGTTACTCATAAAAAATTGTATTAGAGATATTCTTAATTATATCCAAATTTTTATTAAAATTTTAAATTATGTCCGTTAAAAAAATCTAACTCTATTAATTAATTGTTTATTTTTTCAGAATTTATGTATTGGTTCGATAATATTTTACTTATTCTAATTAATATAATTTTTTTAAAATAAAAGATTATCTTTAAATTCATACAAAGGAACTATAAAATTATAAAAGTCTACTCAATCTAAGTTATAACATATATCAAATGAACTATTTTAAATTTCTTACTATACACAAATAAACATGATAAGATGTAACTGTACTTTCTCTATTACACTAAAATTGATTTAAACGAACCACAAACATTCATAAAATTTCAGATATAATCTATTCTTACTATATGTCTCTCTTTCAATTTCAAGTTCAACACACTGATAGAATGCTTGAAACTTTCAACCATATATTCATAGCTCCACCCTTCCAAACCTTCCATCAACTTTGTTAATTAGACTTAGCATTGAATAGTAATGTAAAACCTGTCCCACCACCAAAATGTTGTTTTAGACGTATCCTACCAAAATCGATTATTCTAGTTTACTTTAAATATATGATATTTTATTATCTTTGTATTTTTTTTTAAATTCCTTTAAGATGATGTTAATAGTAGTAGGTTATCTAATGTAATGTTATTGTGTAATTAGTGATACGAAAAAACAAATTATTTTAACGTAATTATTTCCTTTTTTATTCTTATTTTTTGTTCTTTGATTATAGATTACTTGCTACGACCTTCTTTTAACTTTATATCAATTTTGTTTAAAATAATGAAGTGAACAAGAGTCTCACTTTCTTCCCCTAAAAAAAAGAGTTTCACTTTCTAATTTGTGTATTTAAATTTATAATATAATAGTGAGTTTATACTGTTTTTTACACTCTCACATTTTCTTTTCTCACTTCTACTCTTCAAAAAAATATTTAAAAAAAATTAATTTAATAAAATAATTTGAAAAACTAAAACTCAAAACACCTCAAACACATATTTAATTTAATTCTAAAACTTTTAATCTTAAAATATGTGAGACCCCTAGTTCCTTTTTCTTTCCCGGCTTCACCCTCACTCACTCAATTCTCTTTCACTTTTCTTACTCACTCTTTCCCTTGGATCCTTCTTTTGGCTGTACAGTGTTGAGTAGTTGATTGTTAGCTGGTGTGTTTGCGGATCTCTTCTTCCTCTTTTACCTTTTCGTTCAAGCCATTCTCGTTGTTCTTCTTCCCGGAGCTCGGAAATCTTTGCCCGAGGTAAGGGAAGCTAGTTTTGGTTGTCATGTTTGGTTGAGAATGAGTCTCAGAAACTCATTAGCTGGTTGTTGATGAATGATTCTTGGTTGAGATTGCTGAAATAGAGTTTTTGGGGTTGTTGGGGTTATGAGAGAAATTTGGGGTTTTTCTTGTTTTGTTGTTGCATGTGTAAAAAGGTGGTGTTTTTGGACTCTTGGATGAAAGTGTGGTACTTTGAACCGTTTGCATGCTGGATTTCTGGTTATTTTGCAGGGTTGGGTAAAAATTTTGAACTTGTTGGTGTTGCTGCTGAGCTTCGTGTTGAGCGCAGTTCTTCGCGTCGGGCGCGTGGCTACCAGGGGACTCCATTTAGGCAAGCCGCTAGGCGCAATGATGGGTGCGCCAGGCGCGCTTGGGAATGTGGGTCTCTGGCTAGTCTGTGTTGGGCGTGACTTAGACCGCGCTGGGCGCGATACCAGTTGTAACCTGATTTGGGCTTCTTGATTTTGCGCTGAGCGCGACCCTTGTCGCGCTAGGCGTGAGACTCCTTGGGAGTCTCTGCCTTGAGGGCGCTGGGCGCAATTTGAATTGCGCTGGGCGCGAGACCAAGGGAGGTCTTTGCCTTCCCCACGCTGGGCGCGGGTCTAGGCACGCTGGGCGCGTGAGACTCCATGGAGTCTTTGCCTGGCATGCGCTGGGCGCAATTGGTATTGCGCCAGGCGCGGGTGAGCCTTGGGCTCTCTGGATGGTTCCGTCGGGTGCGGGTATGCTTGCGCCGGGCGCGATGGCCCCTAGTGCTCTCTGGTTGTGCCACGCTGGGCGCGACCAGGATTGCGCCGGGCGCGGAGATGAGATTTTTACTATATGCTGATAGAGGTTGTAAAATGTTGTTTTATGCCGAATTGAGCTGAAATTGATGAACATGATGTGTTGATTATAGTTGAGGATGTAGAATTGTGATGTTGAGCTGTACTAGATGTTTATTGCGGAGATGAGCCGTATTAGATGTATATTGATGAGCTGTGTCGTGCTGTAAGCTGTTGTTGCTGCATGCTGTACGATGTGCTGTGTTGTATGTTGATATAAATTGTTGTAGGCCGTAAGGCTGAGTTGTTGTAGGCCGTAAGGCTGAGTTGTTGTAGGCCGAAAGGTTGAGTTGTTGTAGGCCGAAAGACTGAGTTGTTGTAGGCCGTAAGGTTGAGTTGTTGTAGGCCGTAAGGCTGAGTTGTTGTAGGAGATCTCTGAGATGATATGCGTGACGACGCATTGTGTGCTTATTGCTGTTTACGCTGTATAGTTGCTGAGGTGTATATTGATGTTATGTTGTGTTGATAAGTTGTAGTTGTTCATATCTCATGTTTATGTTTATATGCTGATTCTTTTCACTAGCTTACCCTTTGTTGTTTTCATGTGGTTTGGACTGCGATGATCATAATATGTATGGGAGCAGAGCAGGGATAGGTGGTGACTAGTGGTGAGTCTACAGCTGGCAGGCAAAGCTGATCCTTGTTGATGTTTTGTTGTTTCAGCTACTTGGTGTAGTAGCTTTGGATGTATTTTTGTACATTTTGAATTTAGTCAGACTTGGACCATGTATATATGTATTTCTAGACACTATATGTATACACTTGCTCCTTTCTGTCCGGTTTCCAGGTGTACCATGTTGTGTGTAGTGACCAGCCGGGTCGTTACAAAATACTGTCCAAGCGAAAAAAAGAGAGAGAGAAAGAGAGAGACTATTTTTACAACAGCTCAAAAGAGATTTTTATTTTTTATTTTTAAAGAAGTTAAAATAAAGTATTTTCGATCAATTAAAATATTTAATTAAAATAATAGTTATCTAATATGCAATTTTAATTTTTTTTTAATTATATACTTTTTATTTTTAAAATTATAAAAATTTTAAATATATTTTTGATTTTTATAAAATGAGCAATTTTTTTTATCTCTATGACTTTTTTTTACCTCTTTAATTTTGAAATTGTATTTTTAGTTCATACTATTATACAAATCCTTTTAACTATTTATTTGTCTATCATTATGTGTGGTGACAATTTAATTAATATCTACAATTTTTTGTGATATTTTGTTAGTTTATGACTTTTTATAAGTTATTTTTTTATAAGTATTTAAAATAAGTGTTATTTATATACTTTAATATAGTCATTAGAGATAAAAAAAATAGTAACTTCAAATTTTAAAGACATGAAAATCAAAGAAAAATATCTTAGAGGACCATTTTTTTTTTCTCATTTCACAAAGATAAAAACAAACATTTACAAATTTTAGAAAGATAAAAACATATTTAAATTTTTATAAAATTCATAATTTTAGTCTCCTTGTTAAAATTTCATTCATTAATTGTTAAAATTATAATGTCAGCTATAACTATATATTATACATGACAATTAATATTTAATAAGATTTAGAATAAATTTCACTTTTTATTCTATTTTATCTTATTTTGTTATTTACTTATATACGTTTTTGGTCTCTTAAATTTTACAATTATGTGATTTTAATATCTCAAAAATTAATTGAGCCATTTTAATCATCAAATACCATTATATGATTTTATTCACCTAAGAGTCACAATCATATAATTTTTAACCTATTTAAAAATACATATATTATTAACTTTAGTAATAATAAATATATATCATCTAACATATGAATGAAAATTATTATATATATAATTTAAATAAGTTAAAAATTGTATAATTATAATATTTAAAAGATTAAAACTATTCAATTAAAATTTGAAGGATCAAAATTATACAATTGCACTACTTATGAATTAAAATTATTCAATTAGAATCTTGAAAATCAAAATTACATAGTTACAATACTTAAAAGATAAAAAAAAAAGTAAGTAAATCTTGTTATTTTTATGAGATAAAAATGAAATTATACATAAAAATTAACATAAATATTTTAAATATTAATTGTTATATCATTTATTTAATGTTAGACCATGAATAAAGTTTTAATTATAATAATCAACAAAATAATTAAATTGTGGATTTCATAAAATTGAAGGACTAAAAACTATACAATTAAAAATTGAGAGACTAAAATTATTGATTTTATCATATTAAAATACAAAAATTGTATAATAAAAAATTGATAGATAGATGAAAATTAAAAGTGTAACATAATCTTAAAGAAACATTTAAAGAAAAATTAATTTTGAAAAGAAAACATTAATGAAAAAAATAAAATGTAAAAGAAAAAATGAAAGAGTTTTGGAGATAAGAACAAAAGTGGAATTAAGATTTATAAAAAAAAGAATAAATGAAAATGGAAAGGTCCCTGGGTGAGTAGTAGTTAATGTGCAGCATCCTTGAATGAATGAATCCCTACCATCCCTCACCACACCCTTCTCTTTCAATCATGTCCCAAACCTCTCCCACTTAAGTAACTGCTTACTACTAACCTCTCTCTCTCTCTCTCTCTCTCTTCGCCCCCAGCCATGAGCGTTCCTCCGCCGCCGCCGCCCCTCTGGACGCCCTTCACGGCGGCGCAGTGGCACGAGCTCGAGCACCAGGCCCTCATCTTCAAGTACCTCAAGGCCGGCCTCTCCGTCCCCCCCGACCTCCTCCTTCCCATCCGCAAGAGCCTCCAATTCCTCTCTCACCCATCTCGTAAGACCCTCAAAAATTTCACCTTTTTCTCTTTCTCTCTTCTCTCGCTAAGCTTTTTCAATTTGGGTTTTCTTCCTCTGCAGTGGGCTACTACGGGAAGAAGATAGACCCCGAACCGGGTCGGTGCCGGAGAACCGATGGGAAGAAGTGGAGGTGCTCCAGGGACGCTCACCCTGATTCCAAGTACTGCGACCGCCACATGATACGACGTCGTTACCGTTCAAGAAAGCCTGTGGAATCTCAATCTCACTCCTCCTCTTCTTCATCTTCCGCTTCTTCCAACCCTGTTGCTGCTGCTGCTTCTTCTACAGCTTCTGCTCCTGCTTCTGCTTCCGCAACTGCTTCCACCCTTCACACCCTTCCCTTGCACACCAATGGCGCCAGGGAAGGTTTCTCTTTCACCCTTGGCAACGCCAACACCAACACCCTCCCCCACCTTCACATGGACCCCCTCACTCTCCCTGGTGATTCTGCCAAGAAAACTTATAGGTATCTATGCATGCTTCTTCCATTCAGCCCTTTCTCGCTATTTCTCAATTTGGTTCTGCTTTTGGTTTTTACTATTTTCTATCATGTTTCAATAACGTCTGAGGGTCTGTTTGGCCAGAAGCATTTTTAGGGGAAAAAGTAAGAAGGAAAATTGAAAACTTTTAGTAAGTTAAAACTAGTTTATGCATAGGATAAAGGAAAAAGTTTTTGGAGAAGCAATACTAGAGAGTTCTTACAATGCATAAGCTAATTTGAGTTCATGAAGAAGTTTATTTCATATTTCTTTCATGAATTTTTCTCCTAAAAATGCTTATAGAGAAGTCTATTCAAACATACCCTGCCAGATCCTAAATATCCTGAAGGCATCCATGTAACTGACCTCACCTGGAGGAATGATCCTGTTGTTGTTCTTGTTGTTGTTGTGTGAATGTGAATAGAGTAGAGTATTATTTGTGTGTGCGTGTGAATGTGAATTGAGTAGGTTTTTTTTTTTTGTGTGTGTGAATGCTGGATGTTACATTTGTCTTTAGGGGTGTTTGACTTTTGTGGTGATGACAATGATTGCTATAATTTTCTAGTGGGGTGCCTGCGTGTTTTAACCCCCGGATAGTATTATATTATTATGTTGTAGTGTTATACAGCAAACATGGTAGCTGTATGTTAAGTTACCTAACATGTGGATCTTTATGATGTGTGGGATGAGCTTCTGGGAGTAAGATGGAAGTTTTCCAGCTGTAGTTTTTGAGTTGGACTTGTGTTTTGTTCAATTTGATTTTGGGGTGTATTTGACAAGATGCAGTGCTGCTGACTGCTGAGCTATTTTCATAAATTCGATTTCGTGTTTTTATTTTCTTTTTCAAAGTTTTTGGTGTGTTTAGTAATGATTTGAAGCAATTTTCAACTATGCCCGTAGAAACAGCGTAGGAGTTCATGTTTTTTGTTTAGTATTTCTGTATTGCATTTAATTAGGTGTTGCAATTTCTTGTTGAAAATACATGAAGCTTTTGATTTTCTTGTGACCTGAATAATTTGCCTCTTGTTCATCTGAGAGCATGAGATGGGGCTCCAGATTTACTTATTCAAGTATTTTGTAGAAATAATTTTCACACTTGTCTAGAACTTATTGTAAGACATGTAGGGCATGGTGTGTTACATTGTCAGTGTGAATGAAAAAGTATCACTGTAGATGTATGATTTGATAAAATTGAAAATCAAGGATTTACTGATGATTGAATGTTAACAAACTGAAATTATAGTGGGGGCATTGATGTTAATGTGTGATGCAGTTAATGCAATCAAGGAAAGGTAAATTCATACTGGTGGACCAAACATCCAGATATAGCGATACTGATGAATAGTTGATAGTTGTCAGGTTTTTAAAGGAAATATTCAATATGGATGTTTTCTTTAAATTGTCTGGTGATATGATTTTTCAATATTGGGTCATCAGTGAGCTTTTATAGAATCTTTTGTTTTCCTTCTATGTCTTCTCCATCATCTTCTTGTTCTATGCATTCTTGTTTTTCTTCCCTATTACTTTGAGATACATTTCTTATGTAGCCTTGTCATAGTTGTTTACCTTTTTGGGTGTGTGAATATTGATATTATGTTAATAACTAAGACATGCATGCACTGAGGTGACATTTTTTTTAAAGTAAAAAAAAGTGTTGTGATAATGAGGGGGAAGATAATGATCAGAGTTATATTTTGATCATTGAAGTAAGTAATTTAGAAGGAACTGGTGGGATTTGAGTTAATTTGGATATTAACTTATTTTTATGATCATGAAATAAGGGAGCATCTAAATTGCATTATGCAGCCTGTGTAAGGACAGTTTCTTCCTGACAGTGCCTCAATCATTCACCTCAATAAACTCATGGGTAGATGGTGGATACTTTTGCAATTCATGGTTGCAGTGATCTCAGCCTCTAAGCGTTTTGATCCATTTGTTTAGCCATTCATAGTTTTTTCTTCAATATTTCTATTTTTTTATAGTAATTTTCTCTTATGCATACTTGAATTAAATGGAGTTTCATGATGTTTACTAAACACTCCATAGGTTTGGACTGAACTCAGAAGCAGACGAGCACAACGTCTTACAGAAAGATCTGGGAAGTGTGAGGTATCAAGGTTATGACTTTACCTCAGATGGCATGTGGTCTCATATGTCTCAAATTCCATCAAGTACTGTGTCAGAATCAAGAAGCAGTTCCACTATGCTAGGCAACTGCTTCCAACAGCAAACAATGCGAGATGCTGAACTCTTGAGCCTGGAAACTGCAAGGACCAAGGAACTAGTCTTCAGTGGCCAGTTAAGTTCATCAGGAAGTTTGAAACAGGAATATCAGCCCCCCCAGTCCCTTTTCAGCGACTGGGACTGGAAGAAGGATTTAAGTTCCTCTACCATTGAGTATAGACCCAACAAGGATTTTAACTGCAATCCAGATGTCAATGTTGATTCAAATGGTTCTTTATAAGGCTTGGACCGAGTGTTTTGGTCTTATGATATGTCGGCATCCACCCGAAGGAACTGATCCCCAACAAATGAAATTACAAGACCTCAGTCAGTGATAAATTTTCTTCCATAGCATTTAGCTGCCCCGGGAACCATGGTTTAATTTCGTGTTGTTTTCTAATATAACTTAAATACTTGAAGGAGTTATGCTTTCTTTAGATGTAAACTTGTAATATTTGACTGTTATCGTTTTTGTTTGTTGTAATGGCATGTAGTTTGACTCCTGTCTTCCATGATTGTGCTATTTTTCTGGCAACAAGCAAGCTCACATGGATGTTTAATTATTGTATGAATGATTGTGAATGAATGACCAACATTCTTTAAAATGGCATGTGACATGTGAGTGATGAATGATGTTCATGTTGTGGAACTATGAAGTGTTGAGTAAAAGAGGAGAAGAGAGGGGGCAAATGGTGTTTTGCATTGTAGATGCTAAATTTGCAGTGAAGTGGTGCTTTCATTGCTACATACATCCAACAGGCGTTATAAATGAGACGTGCAGCGGTTGTTGGCTTATTAATGTTCCAATTTGGAAGTAGCATTTCGAGGTAGGAAAAAAGGCGGTGTTGGTGTTTCATAATGGCTTTTTAACTCGCTTTCTTATTTTTTTCTTCATCAAATTCTCAATTTATTTTGCCAATGAAAGATAAACGAGCACAGTTGCCCTTACATTGTCAGCCACAAGAAAAACAAAGGGCCTGTTTCGTTTTAAAACTTTTTTTTTTCATACTTTTATAAATAGTTGCAAAATAAAATTATGTTGTGTTATTTTTGTTATTAGTTTTAACTGTTGAAAATTTTAAGAATAATAACTTGTTATCATTTTGAGTATTTTAAAAATAAAAACAACTTTTTTATAGTTTTAGTCTTCATTCACCTCCTTTTTTTTTTTTTTTTTCTTCTTGAAATAAAATTATTCTCATTTGAAGGTTTTTTAATTACTCAACTATTGTGATGGACGGGTGGTAATACCAGTTGTGAAGAAGGTTGTGGTTGTAAATATTGGTGATGATCAAAGTAGAGGAGTAACAATAATGAAAATGGTGGATGGTGAGATTGTAATAAATAGTTTTGTTTTCACATATGTTAGGACTTAGGGTTTGTTTTTATGAGAAGTAAATGATTTGTTTTCATGGTTAAAAAAAATAAAAATATTTTTAAAATTGGATTAAAGTATTTCAAAATGAAGTTAAAAGTTAAAGACTTAAGTATGTGATTATGAGTTTTCAAATTCTAGTATGTAGATATAAATTTTGAACCAATTGTTTCTTTTTAAAATGGAAATGAATATATCTTGACTAAATTTTGAAAATCTTAAAAATAATATTTTAGAAAAAAAGGTAACTTCAAATTTTAATAGCAAATCATTCAGTTGATCTCATTTTTTCCAAAAGAAACATATTACTATCATTAACATTAATTATTATTATCATTATAAACATTAATTATTATTATCATTATTATTATTTTACCATGTTATGGCTACTATTTTAAACATCCTACTATCACCATTTTTTACACTATTAATTAATATCAATAACAACCGTCATTTGATGTTTGTGGCTAATCTGCTGACCTGCTATCATGTTTATAATTATTATTATAATAGTTATTATTAATATTATTATCTTTTTATAATAAATGGATCATAACAAATAAAAATAATCAAAACAAAGATTACAAACAAATAAATAATTTAGTGTTTATCACATCTGCATGGAGCGGAAGACACAGACACAGGAGGAATTTTCAAAATCAGCAACGATTCTCATTCTTCTTGGGAGAAGAGTGTGTAAAACACGAACAATCTAATATTGTCTTAACATTCCTAGATGGACAGACAAATATATAGCAACATAAATATGGGAGGGGGAAGATGTTGGCCAATGCTATGAACTACTTGCATGGAGTTTCTATAGCAACGCACATGTCCGTAGCATTTGTCCTACGAAATAGAGAAACCATGATCAATGACCATTAGTTATGCATGCATATTAGAAGGGTCACCTAAAGAACTTATCAAACCGATCTTTTACAAAAAAAAGTTGCAACACTTTCAAACATGTGCAATTAATGTGTTGAACATATTTTTTGTTTTTCAAAAGTTTAATCAATAAATAAATAAAAAAAAAGAGAGAAAGAAATGAGCTTGATTAATAATTGATCTTTAAACAAGACTGATTCAAAGGGTAGGTCAACAAAGTTTTTGTTTTAAACCTCTAAAAAAATATTTATATTAATATTTATATAACATTACAAGATTTTATAATTTAAAAGTCACTCTCTGCATTTTAAAAAATTACTTTAAAAGTTTTACATCTAAAAGATATATAAATATAATTATTTTTTGAAGACTCATCTATAAAATATTTTTATTTTTTTTATCAAAAGATATTATTAATAATTTTAAAAATCTCCACTTCAAGATTTGATTTTAGGTTTAATAATATATTGGATCGATCTTGTCTTTAAATTAATTTTTTTGGTCTCGAAAGAGTTTAATGGATATGCAATGATAGTATAAATTATTTTTAGATGGACAACCAATTACAATTCATCATAAATTTTTTAATTATTTATTATAAAAGTGAATAAAGATGTTTGATGATTTATAATTAAATGACAATGTAAAATTATCTGGACATAACATATTTTCTCTTCTAAAACAGTATTTGTTATGATTTTTTCAATTAAACTTAAAAAAAAGTTAAAAGAAATCTAAGACAATGTTAGAGATTTTTTCAGGTTTCTAAATGTTCATTTATTTTCACCATGACAACTTTGGTGATGAGTCATTTCATCTATGACAATTGGTGATAAACTTCTAATTTCCAAACACCATCCGCTCTACCTTCTGTTCTTCGCTGTTGCCTTTTCTATTGGCGTTTGTCAACTCAACGATTTCTAGAGAGTGAAGTAATCAATTAATTCAATGTTAAGGACCCCTTTGCTTATCTTTTTTATTTTTTATTTTCTCAAACAAAGTGATTTTAAAGAGTATACATTTTAAATAATTTATAATTATTTTTGTTTAGTTGTAATTATAAACAGTGTTTTATTTTGAGTGATGGTTATAATTTCAAAATCTCCCCTAAAGCTGCTTAAAACTGTAGTTTATATGCAACAAAAATTTAGTCAGCAAAAATAAAATAAAAGGTAACAAAAATTTAGGTCTGAATTAATTTTGGTTTTTCTCTGATTAGGTTTGGGTTGACCGGTAGGTTCGGCTGGGCTTGGCAAGTTTTGTTACCTGAAAAAAAAAAAATTCAGACAAGTCTAATAGGGTTTGAAGCCCAAATTAGGTAGGCTTGAACTGAGGTAAGTCATCTTTCTACCCAGCTTTACCCAAAGCGATTTTTTAAAATAACTAGAAAATTGATTTTCTTAAAAGCTTAAACTAATATATATTAATTTTTTTTAAAGTGATTTGTTTTCAAAATAAAAGTATCTTTTCATGAAAGACAGAATCAAACAAGTTCGAATATACTGTTATGTGAGACATGTATTGAAAATGCTATTGAGGGTATTTAGTATTCGATGTCTCGTTATAATTTTTCATACCGCTAAAAAATAATATTTAAAAGAGATAAAATTCTTAAAATAAGAAATAAATTATTTAAATTGAGACATTATTTGTCTAATTTTAAAATTTGAATTGACATTAAGTTTGACTAAAATTATGGAGTAGTAATCTTAACGTTTTTTTTTATCTAAAATAATATATTTAACGTAATGAAATATTTCAAGATTCAAATTTTAAAATAAAAAATTGAAATTAGAATTAATTGCATTTAATAAATAATGTTTAACTGTAGGTATATATATACAGAAAAGGTATAAGTATGAACATTAAATTTGCTATTTTTTTTCCCTTCCTTTTGTTGGAGTGCAAACTTCAATAATGTATCCAAATTCTATCAAATTTGTTTTCCCTTTGTAATTACATCTTGTGTGAGGCCAATTTGTGTGCAAAATTTATAGCCAAATTTGTACTGAGTTGAAGCTAATTAATTAACCTCATTCAGACAGAGTAGCAATAATAGAACTAATTACATATCTCAAATAAAAAGAAAATCATAAAATTAATACAGCCGAACCCCAAAGACTCGGCAAAACAAGAAATCATCACATGCAAGGATTCTCTCATAATCAAAATAAAATAAAGAACTACAACATGTCCCTTTCTGTAGACAGGACTCAAACACGAGAAACCAAACCACTACTAGTCCACTAACCACAACATATTTCTACCAAAATGTGAAGACTCTTCAGTTTTCCAAATATTAAAAGACAATAACTGATCTGTAATAAGTCCATTCATTTGTGTAAAAAACTAAGCATTATAACAGATTAATATTATTTTCAGCTGGCAGCTGACACTACGTGATCCAGCTCAATAAAAAACAAAATAAAAAACTAAGGTGTATCACAGTGAGTCTTGAAATTACCACAGAAGTTACACTCCAAAACATGAGATGGTGGAGGCAGTGGAGCCATAGTGCCAGCACAATTCTCCTTCTCACAAACATGCTTACGAAGGAAGCGCACGTGTGGTAAATCATTGTTCTCTTTCTCCCCTTGGCTACCCCAACTGGCTTCAATCTTACACCTATCACATTCACAGGTAAATCCATAATCCTCCATCAAGATCCTTTTCCTGGTACAGTAGTCCCTCCCAACTCTGATATAGCTGATGCAAACCTCTTTGCCCTCAGGAACATCCTCGACCAACCGAACAACGATGTCAGTGTTGTGTTCCTCGCTCGTGTCCACGTAGTCAAACCTGCATGCATTAGGAAGACAGCTATGGTTAAAGAGAGAGGCTTTGGCGTAAACGGTGTAGGCCTTGATGGATCTCTGAGGCCCATGGGGGGAATAGGGGTGCATTAAGCAAAAGGAGTTGAGCCTGTCCTTTGCCATGAGTTGTGCGACGAGATCCGCGGAAAGTTGGGAGTGGGGTGGGAAGAGGGGTGAGATGAGAGAGTGGAGAAAGTTGGCAGCGTCGATGATTGCTGCATCGGGCGTGCCTTGGAGAGAGAGCAACATGTTGATGTGAGAGGGGGTGTGGAGGAGAAGGTCGTGGGCCGCTACAACGAAACGGGCCTGGACTTGGCGTTCTTGGGGCTGTTGTTGGAGGGGTGTTGAGTTGGTGAGAGATGTGAGGGCCTTGCAGGCCCATGGGGAGTGTGAGGATGAGTTGAGGCATGTTTGGGAGCAGAAAAGGTGGTGGGAGCAAGAGGGGCATGATGGGGGATTAATGGTGTGAGAGGGTATGATTGTGAAGCAGTGGTGACAGTGTTTGAAGGGTGGAGAAGAGAAGAGAGGAGAAGCTGAATAGACAATGAGAGGGGACTCAGTGAGGAGTGTTTGGCCTGCTTTGAGGGGCTGTGCTGCAACAACACCTCTTCCTTTGCCTCCTATCTCTTCCACCCTCAAGAGACAGCTTGAAGCAGCCATCACTATCACTCTATGAGAATGGATGGGTCATGGGTTTAGTTTGGTGATTCTGTGTCCTAAAAAACAATAATAAATAATTAGGGTTTATTTTACTAAATATTTAATAAAATTGCAATATTGGAATATGAGATTACTAAATGAACCAAAATAGCTTAAAGCACTAGTCCAAGTACTTGCAGGGAAGAAGCTTAATTATTTTAAAATAATGTTTAATTTATTACATAAAAATTTGTTTTATATTATTTAGAATTGATCACATATATACTGTCATTTAAAATATTTTTGTACTGACAATTAATTATATTTTTTAATTATGTCATGTTACTGTTAAAAATAAATATATTTATAGTGATATGACGTAATTAAAAAATATAATTAATTACCGATATAAAAAAAATTTACTATGACAGTGTATCGGTAATTAACTCTATTATTTATTCTTTCATCTTTCACGATGTCAAACAGAAAGTACTACGGTACAAGCCAAGCGACGTCTTTCGTTTTAGCTTCTGCTTCATAAAAACAAAAGAAACAAATAAGAAATTAAATAGAGAGAAATAAAGAACGAAGAAAAATACATAATAAATATAATATAAATTTAATTATTTGATCAAAGAGAAAAATATATTAAAAAATAAGATATATATATATATATATATAAAAGAAGAAAAATAAATGAATAAATAAAAATAATTAAGAAGGGATAATCTATAATATTTTAATTTCTCTTTACTCTATTTCTCTTTAATTAAATCATTTCACTTATTTTTATTTTTTAATTTTCACTATCTCCACCATATTTTCTATTGTTTCTTTTTACCAAACATTAGAGATAAGGATACCAAACAAGGCATTAGAGATAACGAGATGATTGTATGCGACAAGAAAATAAAGATAAGGCCTTGTCAATAATTCAACCAGACATAATTAAAGCCACGATGCACTGTCTTCTATAAATATGGAGAGAAAAAAAACCTTAATATGTAAGTTTTTATTTTGACATAGATAATATGTATCTTCTTATGCATCAAAGAAGAAAGAGTTTCAGTATTACAGATAATATTATACTGGTATAATTTTTATTAACTGCTATATTATTTAATAATTTTATATTAAATGTGAATTTTATAAATTCAATTATTAGATCGAAAATTTATATCACTTTACATGTATATATTAAATTTTGTTAAAATTGAACAACAATTTAAAAGTGATCAAAGTGTTCATATTTTAGTATATTTTATAATAAGTATAATACGTCAATTTTATTTTATAAAAATAAAGTATCAAATCATCTTAAATTAATATAAAATATTGTATATATAATTTAAGAGTAAAAAACTTTCAATCATGGTTGAATTTATAAAATTCACATTTAATATAAGTTATTGAACGATATAATATTTGATAAAAATTACACCAATATTATTTGAACCATTATTTAGATAATATTATTTATTACTCTATCAAAAGTTCTCTTACGTACATTTTTCTTATTTTTTAGTATTTCTCCCAAAAAAAATTTATCATATCTTAGAATATATAAATACATGCAACAAAGTTAAGTTATACTAATAAATATTCGTCAATAATTATTATTCATTGTACTAAATACTACAAAACAAAATCATACACACTTCATTCTTCAAAAACATAACATCTCCAACAAATATATGCAAAAAATTTTACTAAAAAATATTTTTCATTGACTATAATGTAAAACACTTAATATTAAGGAACAACTTCCAATGATAATAACTATACACATTATATCATGGAGTTTCCAATAATAATCTATGCAATTTTGTATTTTTTTTGTTCTTTCATTTTCAAGCCTATTAAATTTAATTTTTTTTATTTAATTAGTGTAATCAACTATCATATATTTAAAACAGCAAAACAATTAAATTAATTGATACTTTTAACATATGTAAATAACTAACATTTTTAAACCAATAACGAAAAACAAAAACACAGTTCCACATCTTTTAGCAAGATAAGTATTAAAAGATCAATTAATTTATTTGTAATAATATTATAAAAGTGCATTCACCAAAATTATTTAAAAAAAATTCAAACAATTAATAATTAAAACTATTTTTTTTTATAAGGATGTATAACTTTTCTTTTATTGGATTGTTTTCTATAAGGATAGAAAATTATCTTTGATTGCGACTTCATACTTAATTTAAAATCCTACGCTGATCATTGATAAAAAAAAATAAGTAAAAAAAAATAAGTAGTGAATTATTTCAACTAACAATTTTTAGTATAAATACTACAAATTCAACTTTTTCTATTATTGTAAAATAAACATAACAATAATTTTTAAATATAAATAAAATCTATTTTAAAACATAAAATTAATATTTTTTTATTATATATTATTATAAAATATATTTTAAATTTATAATCCGTGTATCCCACGGTGATAGTCCATAAACTTGTTTGAAATTTTATTTTTCAAATTAATTAATTTTCTCTCTCTGTCTCTGAGTGTGACATTTATATTTAACTACTGAAAATAACAAAAAAAAAATCTCTCGTTTCAATTTTTCTTTTTTATTTAAAATTCATTTTGAAACATAAATTATAATAAAAATTATTAATAAATTTAAAATTTTATGAATAAAAAATTTAAATCATCTTACTGAATAATATTTTATTTATTTAAATATATTAAAATAAAAATAAAAGTTTCTTAAAATTTCAAAACTTTAATTATTTTTTTTATAACTTTGTTTACATGATTTACTTTTATTACATATTATAGAAAACAAAAAATTAATAAATAGAAAAGTCTCCTTATCCTTTGATTGTTTTTATTTATATTTTAGAGTGCATCGTATTGTATACATTAACTTTTCTTTAATTTCGTTATTAATAATTAAAAATATTAGTAAAACATGAAAGTTATCTAATTAAGACCGTTAATTTTTTTTAAAGAGCCTTTTGTTAAATAAACTAAGTAATTTTCTATTTTGTCTAAACTATTTACTTTATAAAGTAATTTTATGCTTTTTCAAAAGTAATTTTTTATTTTCTAAAAATAACTCCTATTTACTTCTTAAAATATTATTTTCAAAATCACCTTTTTATAAGCACTTTTTTTAAAGTATCGGAAATGAATAGATTTTTCTTTTTAACCTTTTTTTTTTCTTTTCAGAAGACTCAAATTTAAATTTTTGTTTAATGTAACCAAATCCTTGGTGTTCCTTATATATTTATATGGTCATAAATAGCAAAAATGAAAGTATTAACACAATACGTCGACGTCTGGAGAGAAGAAGGCGTAGATTGCTGCATATCCAAAGGGGAGCAAATATTGGAAGTGGGTCGGGAAACAGATATCCTTCACAACCTTATCCTTTCAAACTCCTATGTTTATGTCTTAACTTCTTCTTTCTCTCTGTTCCTAAACATGTCTCATACCCCACCCTAGTAATCTCTATTCATCACCCCCCCCCC